GGGCTGCTTTCTTGTGTCCACAAACCACGATGCTCTTAATCATGTATTTGTTGTTTTTAATCTACTGCAGGAAAAAAAAACCTCTTCTCCCCTAAAAGAACATCAGCACAAGCATGGTCCATGGTATGCCTGTGGTGCAGAGGCTGCTGAATGTATAAGACCACTGGGAGCTGAGTAAACCTTTGCACTGACTAGATGTACTGATCTTTAGGACTAAAACATTCAGCATGAATGACCTACTGTACAGGTATTTGGGTTTCAGATTTATTTCCGAGGGAAGATCTATAATGATGCACAGCAAAAGATATTTATTTCTGATCAGGTCTTGGTTGACACGCCATTGCAACATCATGTTGGCATTGAGGGCAGTGCCACTGGATTGGCAGGCTGGGATGGTGGTTTACCAATTCAAAAAGAGGGATAGGAGAGTATGCTCCAATTACAGGGGCACAACTCTTTAGCCTCCCTCATAAGGTCTGTTCAGGTGTACTGGAGAAGCGAGTCAGATCATTGTAAGTTAGTAATGTTTATTTGTATAGCACTTTTCATAGATACAAATCACAAAGTGCTTCACAATAAGACAGGAAACAAATAAACAAAAATTGAATAAAATAAATGTTAAAACATCACAAAAACATTACATTCATATGAAAGTGCAAGTAGAAAACAGGTATTAGCTAAACGCCTGTTTATAAAGGAAAGTCTTCAGATGTTTTTTAAAAGCATCTATAGAATCATGGCTGTGTAAAGACTGGGGGAGTGCATTCCAGAGCCGGGGTGCAACTTGGATCCAGGAGGAACAATGTGGGTTCCGTCCTAGTCATGGAACACAGCTCTTTATCCTCACTAGGGTCCTTGAGGGGTCATGGGAGTTTGCCCATCCAGTCTATGTGTTTTGTAGACTTGGAAAAGTCTTTCAACCATTTTTCTCGAGGTAGACTGTTGGGGGGCGGGGGGTGCTCTGGGAGTATGGGATTGGGGGCCCGTTGCTACAGGATGTTCGGCCCCTATACAAGAAGTATATGAATGGTTCCCGTTGCTGGTATTAAGTCGGAGCCCTACAGGGTGGGAGTTGGACTCAGCTAGGGCTGCCCGTTTTCACCAGTTCTGGTCATAACTTTATGGACATGTTCTCTTGGTGCAGGGGACAGAGGGATTCTGGTTCTGTGGCCTCAGGATTCTGTCTATGCTTTTTTGCAGATGATGTAGACCTGTTGGTGTCATCGCACCATGATCTCCAACTCTCACTGGAGTGACTCACATCCGAGTGTGAAGCAGCTGGGATGAGAATCAACACCTCCAAATCTGAGGCCATGGTCCTCAGTCGGAAAAGGGTAGATTGCCCTCTTCAGGTCCAGGGTGAGGTTCTGCCTCAAGTGGAGGAGGGTTTTTTTCATGAGTGAGGAAACAATGAAGCATGATATTGACAGAAGGATTGGTGCAGCATCTGTAGTTTTGTGCAGGAGATAGTGGGTGTTGTAATACTGATTATCAATTATGAGATATGCTCATAATATGTAAATACTTCGGGCACCACCACTTTATAGTGTCACAAATTGGGGCTGGTGAACCCAGTTGTGCAGAAAAGCAGGCAAGGACTCAGGAGATGTATAAAATAAATAATTTATTAAAACAAAAGAGCTCCCTGTCCATTTTTACTTCAGACTCATCCCAGTTTGTCACTACCCTTCCCTTCGTTACTGCATCTGCCACGACCCAAGAATTTCCTCTTTTTGGACTCATTCTTTCACTATATGAATTATCACTACGCACCTCACTCTCATTACCCACAGTACTTTCCCTCTCTGGCCCATTCACAGCACAGCTGTGCCTACCAGCCGTTGTCTTTATCCAGAGTTCCTTCACCAGTCTACGGGATTTCCTGATAGCGTCTTGGGTGTTCCCTCGACGTCGACTTCCAGACACCCGAAGATTCTTTATTTCTTTATCTACATTTTCTTCTTTTGTTGTTTTCAGTTTAAAATTTTTAAGCATTCGGCTGTATTAGTAAATTGTTTTAAATTATCGCGTGCCGAACCTCCCTTTTGTCCTGATGATTGGTATAATAATTGCCTCCTTCCAATTACTAGGTAACTTTCCTTCTTCCCAGATCTTATTAAACAGGACTAACAGTTTTTCTTCTGCTTGATTTCCTAAGTGTTTTAACATTATATAACATATTTGATCTTTTCCTGGTGCTGTTAATCCTGATTTAAGTATTGCCCTCTTCATTTCTTGCATGGAAAATGGGACATCCATGATATTACCTGGGGTTGTTCTACCATATAAATTATATCATTTGCCCTTCTTGTCTGTTGCCTCCTGCATTTCCCCTGCTCTGATAAATTATCTGAACTATGGATCTTTGAAAATGTTTTTGCCATTATTTCTACTTTCTCTTCAGTTTTTATAGCCGTTCCTTTTTCATGTTTTAATATTGTGTATGTCCTCTCTCGTCTATTCCCTCTCATTTTCTTGATCATTCTCCATACCTTAGCTATAGGAGTTGTTCTGCCTATTGTGTCACAGTAATCCCTCCATTTTGCTTTCTTTGCCTTTTTAATAATGTTCCTTGCTTCTGCTTGAGCTTTTTTATATTCAATTAAACTTTCAATATTATGTGTTCTCCTCAGTATTCTAAAGGCTCGATTTCTTTTCCTTATTGCTTCACTACACTCTTGTGTCCACCATGGCACCGTTTTCTTTTTCTGTTTACCTTTGTTTACAGGAATTGTTATTTTTGCTGCCTTCAGTATAACTTCCCTAATCTTTTTCTCTGCTTCTTCTATATCTATATTTAAATCTACTTCCTCAATATGTTCCTCACATACATATTTAAACCTATCCCACTTTGCCTTACCAAATAACCACCTTTCCTGCCATTCCACCACCTCATTCTCTTTATTGATATGTATTTTACAAAACATTGGAAAATGGTCACTTCCTATTGTTGTCTCCTGCTCTATCTCCCATTGACATAATCCAGCTAAATCTCTGGACACCAGTGTTAAATCTATAGCTGAGCAATTTCCTGTATGAACATCTATTCTTGTTCCCCTCCCATTGTTCATACACACCAAGTGATTGTCTTCCAAAAATTGTTCTATTGTGTTTCCATTTGTTTCAGTCCTCTGTCCTCCCCATTAATTGCCATGAGCGTTAAAATCCCCACACCACATAACTTTATTTCTATTCTGTCTCTGAATTTCCTTTAATTTATCCAGATCTAATATTTTACATGGGTTATAATAATTTATTATAATAAATGGTTCTGCATTTATCCATATCTCC